CCCCTTTGCTCTCATCTCTTTGGGTTTACAGGTCTCCTCTTCAGGGTTTCAGGGAGGAGTCAGCCACCTCTCTGTACAAGGTTGAGTTGAAATAGCCTCGTGTGCAAGCAGAGGACCTGAGAGGGTTAGTGTTAGGATAGACGGGTCTCCTGGGTTTAGAGTAGGACCGATTGTGAGGTGAGGGCTTGGTGATGTTAAGTCACAGAAAACTGCAGGCAACTTGCTCAGTTGCATCAAAACCAGACCCCACCATGAAGGTCAGGCTGAGCTTCACCATGATGGGTGACACAAGTGAGGGGCCTCAGACTGTGATGGACCCTGGACAGGAAACATCCAACTGGGTTGGCAGGAAGACCAGATAGGAAAATGGGTTGCTGGTGGCACGTGGGGTTCCCAGTCTGGGCTGGATTGTGACAGCTGACATTTAAAGCTGTGTGTTTGCAACTGAGCGATTGAGGGCCTCGACCACTTGGGCTGTCTACCACTCTGGCAGCCAGAGGCAGGGATGTGTACAGAGGGGTTGGGCCACCCCGTACGTGGTGTGGCGGAATGTGCCTTGAGTGGGCATGGAAGCCACAGCACATTATCCTGCCTTGAGGAGTGGGGTTCGGCTGACGCTGTGCAGACCTGGGTGGCAGGGCCTCTTCACATAGGGCTTGACCCGCCCCCTGCAGTGGTCACTGAGGTTATTGAGGTTTCATCAGCCGGGTCTCCTGGGTTTAGAGTAGGACCGATTGTGAGGTGAGGGCTTGCAGGTGGGGAGGGCCTCCCTCGGTCTGAGCCAGCTCCCTGCCCGCCTCTCACCCATGGGCTTCTGCTCCGCAGGCTGGCGCCTATGCGGCTGTACACACTCTCCAAGCGCCACTTCGTCCTCGTGTTTGTTGTCTTCTTCATCTGTTTTGGCCTCACCGTCTTCATCGGGATCAAAGGTAGGTACAGGTTTTGGTCATTTTATCATTTACAGTTTTCTCTGTGCAGTGCTTTTTAGCCTGGCCCAGCTGTATCCACCTGCTGTCACCCGTCAGAGGCCCATTGTAGAGGGTGAAGCCCCATTTCTCTCTGCACCTGCTTGGTGGAGGGGTGACCCTGGTCCTGCCCCATACAGCAGCCAGGGCCTCAGTTTAGCATGGCAGCCCTGGGCAGCCTTGACCATATACCTTTTGTTAGACAAACATTTCTGGAGGGTCTGTTGTGTGCCAGGGTCCCGCCTGGGTGCTGGGAAATCTGGAGTATGCTGGCTGACATGAGAGATGGGCCATGCAATCGTTTCAGTGTAGTGAGTGTCAGGGAGGGCGTGAGATGCTGGCAGCAAGAGGCTGCTCTGGGGATGCCCTGAGCTCTTGGCAGGAGGGAGCCTACAGATGGCTTTCACCTTGTCTTCAGGGCCCTGGGTGCTGTTTGAGAGAAATGGGTTTCTGGGAACCCTGGAAAACCAGCCGACTTCTCTGGCCCTCAGTTTTCCATTTCTGAGAAAAGGGATTAGATGGGACCATTTCAAAGGAATTTTTTAAGCTAAAATTGTTAATGGGGTGTGCCTCAAAAGACTGGTTTCTTAACCTAAAAGTCTTGGGTTGGTGAATGGACTGAGGAAGCTGGGGAGAGAGTGGTTATTTCAGTGCCATTTGCCAGCTGTTGCTGAAGATGATGATGGTGACAATGGCAACTGTAGCCAATCTCATTTTTCTGTGGTTTTAATTTACATCTCTCTGATGATTAGTGACTTTGAGCATTTTTTCATATGTCTATTGGAGATCTGTATGTCCTCTTTAGAGAAATATCTATTCAGGTCCTTTGCCCATTTTTTAATTGGATTGTTTGTCTTCCTGGTGTTGAGTTGTGTAAGTTCTTTATCTATTTTGGAAATTAACCCCTTATCAGATATATATCATTGGCAAACATGTTCTTCCATACAGTGTGTTGTTTTTTCATTTTGTTGATTGTTTCTTTTGCCCTGCAGAAGCTTTTTAGTTTGATGTAGTCCCATTTGTTTATTTTTTCTTTCGTTTCTCTTGCCCTAGGAGATCTTTAGGTAAAAATATTGTCATGCAAGATGTCTGATATTTTATTGCCTATGTTTTCTTCTAGGATTTTTATGATTTCACTACTTACTTTTAAGTCTTTTATCTAGTTTTAGCTTATTGTGTATGGTGTAAGTTGGTGGTCAAGTTTCACTTTTTTGCATTGAACCTGTCCAGTTTTTTCAACACCATTTATTGAAGAGACTTGATCATTTCGTTTAAGGCCAAAGCTCTAAAAAATTACAGTGTAAGATTCTATGAAGCTTGTATATCTGTTATATCAGGACAAGCCTTGATTATATATTAGCAATTATGCTTTTTTATATTCTCTACTTAAATATTTTTGGAAGACCGGTTCATTGGATGGATAGATAAATGTTTACACTGTATAAAATAGATAGATGCCACCTGTATCATGAATGTTCTCTTGGACCTGCAGTGCAGAGAGAGCCCTCATCGAGAGCAGAGGAGAGGTTTCTGCACGTACAGAAACCGTGGAAATTGTGCACATTGTATGGCAGTCATTTTGGGTTCACCTGTGTTGAGAAGTCCTGCAGTGCAGCGGAATGGATGTTGTGTGTCTGTGTTTGTGTGTGTATGTGTTTTACATATATGGGGCACTTCTAAAGACAGACCAGGAAAATAAGATCAGCTCCATATAATGTATGTCTTTCTTGGTATTTGAAAAAAATCAATAAATTAATCATCAATGTAGGATATAACCTGCTTTTTTCCTTCTCTGTTACACTTTAGGGCCGAAAGTGATCCAGACTTCAGAAGCTCATTTTTCACTAAATAATAGCAAAAAGGTAAGACTGGGCCTGAGTGGCAGATGGTGGGGCGTATAAACTTCCAGGTCACTAGAAATGGCCATGCATTAGCGGGTCCTCCTTGTCCTGCAGTTTGCTTCTCAGGCAAAGTGCACTCTCAGTGGCTGGCCTCTGGGTCCTCCTTTGCTAAAATGGCCTTTTCTGCTGTAATCAATACCTCAGTACGAAGACAGGGTGGTGGTGGTAATGCTTAGGGAGCAGCAGTTCATTTCCAAAGGCTGGTTAACTCATCCTGATTCCTCACGTCTGCAAGTCTTATTAGATTATAAGTCCTGACAGTGCTCACTTTATATTTGCCCAAGTGAAGACCTGTTCTCCATGCTTGGTTTCTGACTGTAACAGTTCTTCCTAATGACTGGTATTCCTTGCATGAACTCGGTTTAAATGAAATATCCTTTTTTTTTTTTTTCCTTTTTTTTAATTTTCCTCGATTCTTCACCATCTTTAGAGGAAAACAAGTTCTTCCAATTGGAGAATTTTGGTTTTCTTTAATAAATACTAACTAGTGAGAGCCCAAATAACTAAAACCTTTTACTTTTCTGAGTATCAAATGAAATCTTTATCTGTAAACTGAACGCACTTGTCTTGCATTCTCAGGACACCATAACGTGTGTGGTTTAAATCTGATTATCAGACCCCAAATATTTCCTTGTTTGTTCTTCCAGTTCCCTGTTACGTGTTGACCCTTACAATTTTCAAAAAGGCAGAATGAGAAAAGTGTCCTAAAACTTATACCTTTTAATTCTCCTTTTTGCTAGTGCTAGCTTGGAAGCATCCCCTGCATAGCCTTTTCTTTGCATTTCCTTATTTTCTTTAACTCTCAGACTGAGCATCTGATTTGAAGAGGCACAGCGAAGGGATTCCTGACTGTATTTTGGTATTTTAAATTTTCTGTCTCTCGAGATGTCAGTATTTTTTTAAAATATATATCTTTATTGATTTCAGAGAGAGGAAGGGAGAGAGAGAGAGATATAGAAGCATCAGTGATGAGAGGGAGTCATTGATTGGCTGCCTCCTGCATGCCCTCCACCAAGGACCCAGCCCACAACCCGGGCATGTGCCCTGACTGGGAATCAAACCTCGATCTCCTGGATCCTAGGTTGATGCTCAACCACTGAGCCACGCCGGCCAGACTGCTTTTTTTGACACTGAAAATAGCAGCCATCCCACAGATTTGCTTCTGAAGGATCATTCTTACTTCTGAAAGATGATAGATTACCCTCCGATAAATCTTATCACATTGGTGGCTTTTGGGACATCTCTGGTCACAGAGGGCTTGATGGAGGCTCGCCAGAGTATTAAAAACACAAAGAGCGCAGGCTCACACTCAGAGACTGTGCATTCAAACAGTGCTTTCAAACTGCGGGTGGGCTTCTCAAGCAACTTTCTCCATAGCCACTGCTGTAGACATGGTATTGTGTTTCTCAGTAGACACTGCAGAAGTATCATTGGCAACGTGGTCCCCTCTAATTTTTCTCCCCAAGGGTGTTAAGACTTTTCTAAAGCTGAGGATAACAGATGTCAGACAGTGACATGTCTGGCATATTGATATTAAATCAAGATTCTTGCAAATATATTTCTTTGGTGTCATTATCTTGTTGTATGTCTCATCATATGCACTTTCAGTTTTTTCTCCAGGTAGCCTTTCTTGGTGTTTAAGTAGGGTATTGTCCCAAGGCTGCGGGTGGTGGAAACCACCTGCCTAGAGTTTCTCATGAGAGACAAACGGGAATTGCAGCAGGAAGTCAGGCCTTTCTTTTTCTGGGAGGCGAGATTTCCCTCATGTTTTCAGAAGGAAAACTGTGTTGTTTCTGTCCTAGCACCAATGCTGAGCCCTTTTCGCTGAATATGAATTTTGGATGTTAAGGTGAGATATTTGGTAGTTGCAATGAAAAGGTCACATGTGTTACTTAACTTTTTCTTTCTTTTCTCTCAGCTAAAGCCAATTCACATACGTTCAAATCCACTGTCCGCATACAATCAGCAGCTATGGCTGACGTGTGTTGTTGAGTTGAATCAGTCAAAAGGTATGGAGCCTGACATTTGATCTGATTTTCCTTTGTACAGAGCACCATATTTTAAAAGTTGAAAGAGCTTTCAAATCTTTTAAAATGTGTTCAAAGGTGGATTACAAGGATGGTCTTTATTCTTTGTACTAGCAACAGGTTGAAAGCCCTTTAAATGTCCTTGGGTATCCTCAGAGTAAGTTATGGTGCAGCCCCTGGGGAGTGTTGGTCACCCCACAGGAATGCCGGTCAGCTTAGCTCAGGGAGTGTGCTGGTCAGTTTAGCTCGGTGGCTGCATGGCATAGGAGCTGCTGCAGCCTTTTTCAGTGGGCTTCTGGGAGAAAATGAAGTCCTGATGCCCCAAGCCAGTGGATCTGTCTCCCAGGGACACATGGAAGTGTCTGGAGACATTGTGACATTTTTATTATCCCAGCTGGGGAGAAGTGGGTGCTGCTAGTGTCTAGTGGGTAGAGTCTAGGGATGCTGCTGGACACCCTGCAGTGCACAGGACAGATCCCCGCAGCAAAGAATTGTCTGGCCTCAAAATAATCAGTGGTGCTGAGGCTGAAAAACCCTGCCCCAGAACATCTCCTGTTCACAATGAACCAGCTCTGTTCATCTGAAATGGCGCCAGTCATGTACCACCCCGGGAGCACTCAGGCGATGGTCACCCACATGGTCTGTGTGCTATGGTTCACACAAGGGGCTTTGGTTGAGAAAGAATTGGAAAAGAACCCTTGAAAAATGCGTATTAGGAAAAAATCAACCCCCTTTTTTGGTAACTCTTTAGGAAGATAAACAAATTTGATACATCTGTGTATTTGTCTAGAAAATGGTCTGGAGGATGGGCACATACATGTTTACTTTGGCTCTCTCTAGGTGGTGGGATTAGAGTGTTTGATGCCATCTTTATAGTTTTTTGTTCTCTGATTTTTTAAAACAATGAGCAGGTAATCAGAAAAATAAGTTATATAATCAGAAAAAAATACTTTTTATGTTGGTATAAAGTTAAATTAAAAATTTATGTGGGAAGTAAAAAGTAATTTTTTAACCATCAACTCTTTGTCCTTTCGTGAGATGAAACTGATGGATCTGAAATGCAGGCTTTTCCCTAGGCCCCTGGATAAAGGGTTGCACAGAGAACTAATAGAAAGGCTTTACTTTGCTGGCAAAGTGGGGTTTTCAAAGAAGACCCTCCTGGGTTGTCACAGAGCCAGGCAGGCACCTTTGTCAGTGTGATGTGCCTGACGTGGTCCCTGACACTGAATTTCTTTCTTTTGTAGAAACGTCTCTTCAGAGAAGCTTTCTCATGACTGTTAAAGTTGATGGTGTAGCTCAAGATGGAACCACCATGTTCATTCATAACAAAGTTCACAGTCGGACAAGGACCCTCACATGTGCAGGGGTGAGTGCGTTCCCATGGTCCATGTTACTTTTCATGCTACATTATCACAGACTTGCTTTCTTAAGTAAAATTCATACCAGCCATGGTATGGAAAAATTACCTACCCTTATAAATGCTTATTAACATACAAACATACATGTACACAACAGACACACACACTGACTATATGTGGTACCTACTTTTACTGTTTGTGTAACTACTGCCTGGTGTGTCCATACATGACTGTTGATGGGCCACCTGTCACACATGAAAGTCTGCCATGGTTCCATGATCACTTTTGTTTGTTTGTTTCTTTTGTTTTAATCGTCACCCTAGGAGATTTTTTCCATTGCTTTTCAGAGAGAGTGGAAGAGAGAGAGAGAGAGACATTAATGTGAGAGAAACACATCGATTGATTGCCTCAGGTATCAAGCCTGTAACTGAGGCATGTGCTCTTGGCTGGAATTGAACCTGGGACCCTTCGGTCCACAGGCTGACACTCTAACCCCTGAGCCAAACTAACTAGGGCCGTGGTCACTTTTGATTGTGGGCTCCGGGTTGTTTCCAGGTGTCTTGGGAAGAGTGGCCTGTTGTTGAGCACCTACTCCAGGTGCAGTGTGTGGCTGTGGGATAGGAAACCCGATGTCCCAAAGCAGGGAAGGAGCCTCATTCTCAGTTTTGTCAGCACTGAATTCTGTCAGAATCAGAAGAATCAGATCAGGTCCCTGGTGTGGTGAGGAGGCGCCATCAGGACTTCATGCGTCATGGAGAGTGTGGGGAGCACCAAAAAGGGCATGCGTTTGAGTCTAGGGTTAGGACAGTGGTTTCCCTGCTGGGCCTTGTGCTAGGTGCTCTGGGATGGTACCTCCTTCAGTTCTGCCAGCAGGCCCATGGGACGGGATTTGTTGTTAGAGCCCATTTTATATAAGAAGAACCCAAGGCTCACAGAGGTCAAAACATTGGCCCAGAGCAACATAGATGGTGAGGGAAGGGACCAGGATTTCAGCTCATGCTCTTTTATTCGGTAATTGTGCCCTTGGTACACATGCACGTGCCTAGTGATAGCACTGAGACACTCTGCCTGTTCGTCCTGGCCAGGAGGGTGCAGTTAGCGGAGGCCTCCTGCTCAGTGGCGGGCCCTGTCTGTGATCACTCTCTGTTGGTGGCTCTCGGAGATCCTGAGATTGTCAGAACCACGGCCTGAAGGGGCTGGGTTGTTGGAGGCAATTGCAGAAGTGGGCCAAGGAGGAAAGTGAAGCTGAGGGGTCTGACTGGTTGTGCCTTAGCTTACCCTTCCCCATGCAGCAGTGTATTTGTGGAAATGCCAGGTTTGTTACACTGTAACTTTTTTATGCAGGTGCATGTTATTTTGAGTCATCCAAAGTAGAGTCTAAGGACTGTAAATCATTTTTGTTTGTTTCCAAAAATACCCATTTGGGTCTTTCTAAGAACTGTTTTTGGCTGGCATTGGAATTTTTCTGGGCTTCTGGCGACTTCCCTGGAGATTATCAGTTCTGATCATCTGTTGTTGAAATGTGTTGCTTCATGGGTCACTTGGTGGGAGAGTGAGTCCTGCTTGATTTAGACACAATTCTTCCCTGTGCATTTGCAGAAGTGTGCAGAAATTGTTGTGGCTCACCTCGGCTACTTGAATTACACTCAGTACACAGTGACTGTGGGATTTGAACACCTAGAGCTACCCATCAAGGAAGTGAACTTCACCGTAAGTATACCACCTGACTGCAGATGTTTCCTTGGCTCACTTGTTTAGAGCCCATTCTTCTGTTGAGTGGTTGAAATAACACAGCATCGAAGTTTTGTTATTTTTGGATAGTGGAAGACATGTACAGTTTTAAAAAGTTACCACTCTTCTTTTCTTTTACAATAATTTTTTATCTTTCAGTTACAGTTGATATACAGTATTATATTAGTTTCAGGTCTACAACCCAGTGATTAAACATTACATAACTTATGAAGTGATTGCCGCAATCAATCTAATACACGTCTAGCACTATACACAACAGTTATTACTATACAGAANTACATAACTTATGAAGTGATTGCCGCAATCAATCTAATACACGTCTAGCACTATACACAACAGTTATTACAATACAGAATGGGGCAAAAGTAGGTTTACTCCTTATTTGTATGGAAAATAATACAATAATTAATAAATAATAATACAAGAATAAACTCTGGGTTTTGTGTACTCACAACTGTAAACCTGCATTTGCCCCACCCTGTATTATTGACTATATTCCATGTGCTGTACTTTACATCACTGTGACTATTCTGTAACTACCAATATATGATTCTTAATCCCTTCGCCTTTTTCACCCATCACCCCCACCCCTCTCTCCTCTGCTAACTGTCAAAATGTTCTCTGTAACTATGAGTCTGTTTCTGTTTTGCTTGCCCATTTATTTTGGTTTTTAGATTCTACATATAAGTGAAATAATCTGGTATTTGTCTTTCTCTGCCTGCCTATTTCACTCAGTATAATACCCCCCAGGTCCATCCATCTTGTCGCAAATGGGAAGATTTCATCTTGCTTATGATGGAGTCGTAGTCCATCGATGCACCGTTATCTTCTTTATCCACTCATCTGTTGACGAACACTTAGGTTGCTTCCATATCTTCCTTATTGTAATAATGCTGCAGTGAACATATGAATGTTACGTGTCTTTTCAGTTTAGTGCTTTGGGTTTCTTAGGATAAACACCCAGAAGTGGAATTGCTGGGTCCTCCTTATCTCCTGTTCTATATCCTTTGTTTTAAAGTCTGTTTTGTATGATATAAGTATTGTTACCCCAGTTTGTTTGTTTTTTTCCATTTTCTTGGCATATCTTTTTCTGTCCCTTTACTTTCAGTCTGTGCGTGTCTTTGGATCTGAAGTGAGTCTCTTGTAGGCAGCATATGTAAGGGTCCTGTTTTGTTATCCATTCAGCCACCGTATGTCTTTTGATTGAAGCATTTCATTCAGTCATCCGTTGATGGACATTTGGGTTTTCATTTTTGGCTATTACAAATAATTGCTGTAAATATTTTAATAAACTGTCTAGAAGGATGTCTCTGGTGGTGGGCTTAATGTTTAATTTTTTTCTCTTTTTCTATTTTTTACAATGAGCTCTTATTACCTTTATAATCAGAAGAGAAAAAAAATTTTTTAAAGGCTCCTAAGACAACTAAAACTTGAAGGGGAAGTCCAGGATGCACTCTAGCCATTCACTCTAAAAAACTCGTTATGGAAAAGCTAACTCAGAGAATCACAAAGTAAGGTGGACAGCTTGTCTGTAGGGACACATTAAGAAATCAGGGAACCTTATGTAAAGTGTTTCTGCGTCTTTTATAAAATCCTCCTTGAAGACAATATCCATTATGTTGTGAACTTTGAGCCTACCCTGCAAACAGAATTCCTTTTGCTCATTGTTATAATCCTTTTATAAGAGAATGAAAGCTATTAGCTGCTAGACGTTTCAGAAATAAATTTTATGCTGAATCAGAGTAATTACTACCATCCTGGTATAGGTTTCATCTTAAAAGTATGTCAGTGATATTCTTATACACCCACCAGAATGGATGAAATGAGAAAGACAAAATGCCAGGGTTGGCAAGGATGTGGGGCACCCGAGCTCTCCTGCCCTGCTGGTGAAAGTGTGAGTTGGCACAATGGAAATACAGGCATAGATTGGCCAAAAAACATGCATTTCAATGTTCATATCACAGCAGCACAATTCTCAATAGCTGCAAACTGTAAACTACTCAGTGTTACAATGAATGCACAGATTGTGGTATATGCCTATAATGGACTATTATACAGCAATGAGAATGAGCGATTGCATGCAACATTATGGATGACTTTCATAAGCATAATGTTGAATAAAATAAACCAAATAAAAATAGTACAGAGTGTATGATTCCATTTATATAAATTACAGAAATAGACAAAATGAATCTGCTGTTAAATAGGATTAATGTTACTCTTGGTAGGTGAATGACTTGATTGGGCCATAAAGGGAGGGCTTCTGGGGTGCCCTCCCTTTATGTTTCTTGATCAGAATATGAACACATCAGAACACTGGTGTGTTCAGTCTGTGACAGTTCATATAGCTGTACACTCAGGACATGTGTAGAGTATATTATCTTTCAGTAAAAACTTAACAAAATATGTATCGCACTTTAAAAATCAGAGCTCATCAGGATGCTGCCTGCATAATCACAGACATTTCTTAGACAGCTCTTGATTGTTTGACATGTTTGACTTCTGAGAGTTTCTGTTCCTTTTTTTGGCATTTCTTTGGAAATCTTTGGTGTTTGGAGTTTTTAGTTCTGTGTTCTCGCAGTCTAGGATTGATTCTCACCATGTGTTGTATGCCCTTGGCTCTTACATAAGAGCTCAGAGCCACATGGTCACCTTCCTCTGGGCATCACCATTTGTTTCACTTGCCAGGTCTTCCTCCTTGAGGAAAATCAAGCTCAGGGTGAAAATTGCCCGAGTTGCTTCTCCAACCTTCTGGGAGGTAGAATGGTCACCAGGGCAGGCCTGGAGTGTTCAGATGCTCTGCTTTTAGCAGGATGTATCTGTCCTTTAGCAGACATGTAGATGGTTGGTACCCCTCTTCCTGTCAGCCTGTGTGCAGGCATTGTCGTCTGTCTGGCCTTGTTGCCATGTGGCCTTAATTTGGGAAGCTGGATTTCTCTCCTTTTGTCCTTAGTCCCATATTCTGTGAGCATTTTGTTCATTGATTTCTACTCAAATATGTATCTTTTTGAATTAGCATGGCATCCTTCCATCTCTGCCTGTTTTGTCAGCTCATTCTTTTGAGTGCATCTTGCCCACACCCCAGTGCCATGTGCTTTCAAGACCACCCTCCAGGTCTTGCAGGTACTTATGAGACGTTGCTCCTCTTCTGTGTTTCTGAAAAAGGCCTGTGTCATTGGCCACTCTGCACATGCCGTGGAGGGTGGACGGAGACCCCATGTGGGTTGCTTCTACACGTACTTCTGTCCTTTTCTCCTAGATTTTGTGAGCATCTGCTCCACACACATCACTTCAGTTCCCTGTGTCCTCACAGCTACGCTGGGCATTTCCCCCTCTAAATAAGTGCTGTCCAGGTTGATTCTCGAGTGACTGTAGCCAGCTGTTCCCATCTCATTTCCTCCCTTTTCTTCCTAAGCCATAGCCTTTCACTGGGGGATGAGGTGGAAACAACAGCCCATGTTCCAAGTCCTTCAGTTTTCTATCCAGTGAATGCCTCTGGTTTCCTTGTAAGTCGAGAAGACTGGAAGCAGTACTTTGAATAGCTCTGTCTGACTTCTTGGATCACACTCAATATGACGTTCTCATAGGACGGATTACAAAAGCGTGTGCTAGGCTTCTCCCCCAAATATTTCTGTTTAATATCTTGCACTTCATTTTTCAAGCCTCACATTCGAGCTTGGGACCCGATTCCAGGGTTTGCTTAGGGTTGCATGGGTTGCCCCTGGCCCTCCCCCACCTATGCTCCTGTGGTTTTCATATTTGGAGGACTCGCTAAGGTGTCATAACATATTTATTCTCTGCCAAAATATTAGTCAGCTTCTGGCGGCATTTTTACTGGTTAATTTTTTTTAGTTGAATTGTTTCATGCCTACACAAGATTTGACATTGTACTTGCTGATATGTGGTCACAGTAGGTGTTCAGCAAGTGTTGAACAGAGGACTAGAGCCACACCTGTAGGTTTTAATTAGGGAGAAGTGACCCGGGTCACGAAATCAGTGCTTGTTCCAAATGTCCATTTACAGTATGACAGCTCGAGCCCAGTCTCTGTGAGGGCAAAGACAGCTTTGTGAACACCAGAGGGCTTGTCACAAAAGCCAGGAAGGGGCTACTGGCTCTTCAGATGTCAAAGTAAATGTCTGCAGCCTTACTGCTGGGATTTTACTGTTTATTTCCTTTTACTTATTTTAGTTTTTAATTTCATTGCCTCATGTCCAGTGTCTTTAGTGTGTGTGTTTGTGTGTACTGTTTGATGTTTCAGGCAAGTAAGTTAAATCTAGTGTCTGTAACTCCATCTGTTCTGAAGTGGGCCTTTAAATCTGCTCAGGTGACTTTGATTCAATTCATCACATAGTGGAGCTCGTTGGCCCAGTGTGTGCAGCATTTGGGGTGCTGGTGAGCTGGCTGTGATCACAGTCCGGGGCGCTCCTTCTGCCTGCGTCAGCACGTGGTTCTGCGTCCTCGGTTCTGCTCCCTGTACATGTGGCGTGAGTGGATAGTCAGCATGAGAGCTGACAGGTGGTTCCAGCATCCTTTTTTGGTTTCAGAGTCTTATTTTTATGTTTCACTTAATCTTTTTTAGAACCTCCTACCTACTCACAGTTTACATCTTTTAAAAAATCTTTCTTTTCGTGGAAAGCCTGGCATCCTCTAATAAAGAAATTGACAGTGTTGATTTCTTATCTGAGATTTAAAAGCCAAATACTCTTATTATGATTATAGAATAATTTATCTGCCAGATTCAGCATTAGTAAAGCGCCACTAAAAACTATTTTCAGCTATGGGTAAGTAATATTTTCAAAGTCTGTGCTCTTTGATATACAAATAAAATGTACTAAGTGTTTAAATTTTAGAACATGTGAGAAAGTAGAAGGAAAGAGAACATTTTAAATTACCTAGTCTCATATCTAGAGATAACTATTAATAATCTGTTGTACTTCCTTTTTTTGGTTTTATTATTTTAATTTTAGTTTTCAATTACAGTTGACATTCAGTATTATTCTGTATTACTTTCCAGTTTACAACATAGTGTTAGACAGTTATGTACTTTACAGGTGGTCCCCGGCATTTCAACTTCCTCTTGGCGCTGTACACAGCTGTGACTGTACTATTGGCTGTGTTCCCTACGCTTTGTGTACTTCCTTTCAGATCCAGTTTTTCAAACTGTTTCCCCACTTTCCATTTTAGTGGAAGACTTACAACCCTGCATTTTCCCAGTTGGAAATTTGGTTCCGGTTCATCTTTGTGGTGCTTACCTTCATTGTCACTGTAAGTAACATTCATGTGACACATACCAGATTCCTAACAAGGGCAGAGGCAGTTTGTGAATTTTGATTATCCAAGTGCAGACCCCACAGGAGATTTCTCTGGCCTTTGAGACACCTATCCAGTGGCCAGCCTGACATCACTAAATGTTGTACATGTCTGCTAGGATGCCACAGTGCAAATGGTGACATGGTCTCTCTAGCAAGGGCATCTGTGTGGTTAACAGTAATCCCAGGTGTGACTTGTAGGTAACCTCTCATCCGTGTGCACTGACAAGTGCCACTTACCCATTTGGCAGGAAGTCTGCCTGGTTTGGGTGACTTTCTTTCAGTGCAGATGCAGTTCATTCTTGGAAGATGGTACCGCACCGTCTTTGGGCTTTTTGGGAGTGAGTCCCCCATGAGCGGGTTTGGAAGTGCAGACTGTGGACCGATTTGGGATCTGAGCTTAGTGTCCACAGCACAGTGTGACTTGGGGGGAAAAGCTTACCCTTAATGCACTGGTGATCCCAGAGCAGCCAGTCAGCAGAGATGGGGATTTATAAATTGGAGGAGGAGGAAGGTGCCTCATGTAGTGACTTAACAGCTGTCTGAAGTGTAGCACTGTGCCCGCCTCAGATGCCCACCCCATGCTGACACAGGGTATGACATTCAGGAGCTGTGTCCACCCCTTGCAGTGCTGTCCACTCCAATTGCCACCTGAGGAACACTTGATGCTTTGCAGACTAACCATGTATAGAAGAACACAGCTTGTGGGGAACATGAGAAAAGTGCCAGACTACCGCGACTGGGACCTGGGTGTGGACAGAGGGCAGGACACAGCCACTGGAATATGCAGAGTGGGGATTGTGGTCTCAGGCCATGCCCAGGGCTTCCCTAGTGAACTGACCACGGGAAAGTGGAGAGCCGCCATTAAAAGCTGGTCATTCAGACATACTTGCTGCTTCTGGAAGCATCCCTGGTACCTGGGATTCTGCTGCCACAGTCTGGGGCCCAAGGAACGGGCACCTAGGGCCCTGTGTTCTTGCCCAAGAGAAAAAGCCTCAGCCTAACAGATAGACTAGAGGAAGTGGCCCATTAGCCCGGGAAGTCCAGATTGCCTAGAATATTACTGGCTCATAGTAGGTTATAGAAAAAAACAAAAACAAGACAAAAAATAACCCCAGCTCCCTAAAACACAAATTGTATAATGTTTTAAAGTAGTTTAAAGAAACTTCTCCCATAGGCCACCACACCTTCTTCAGGGGATTTTGAAAATAAACACATCCTCTGACCATGGTTGTAGGCCTTGTTCCCTTGGCTTTTCCTCTGAGAGCCCCGGTGCCATCTGTCAGTGTTGCCCTGTGGGGAGTGTGTGGCCTGTGCCCTGGGGAAGTTCTCTATGTGGCTCCATTCCATTCCTTGTCTGCTCCTGCCCCATGAGAACAGCTGTGACCATCTGATCTGGGCCCTTTTGCAGCAGTTCACCATCTCGTCTCAGTTGTCACTAATGGTCTCAGTAGTCAGTTCAACAAGGGGTTAACTCGGAGCTCTCAGCTGGCACCGTGGCCATGGATTTGGGAAGACATGCAAGATGCTCAGCCAGGAGTGAGCCTGCAGTGACTGGGGCCTGATTTGGTTTGCAGTGCCTGTTTGCGCATTCCCTCCGCAAGTTCTCCATGAGGGACTGGGGCATGGAGCACAAGTGGATGTACATCCTTTTGCCTCTGCTGCTGCTATACAATGGTAGGTGCCGCTGTTATTCTGGAGCTTTCCCCTTTAGAATCGAAAGCTGGGAGACATCCTAGAGGGGGCTGGCCCAAGTCTCCAGAAGTGCTGGCAGCAGCCCCCAGCACTAGAAGGATGCTGCACCAGGATTTGGAAGATGCCCGAGCTTTCACAAATGAGTGACTGCTTTGGTGGCTAAAACTCAGATGGGCTGCAGACACAGCCTCCTTGGAACTTGGCTGAAGGTGGCGAGCACCACCATCTGTTCCTCTGCCCAGGCACAGAGCTGTAGCCTCAGGATTCCCAGGCTGCGGGAAGAGCGGGCAGGGGGAGCAGACGGCATTCTGTAACCATCACTGGGGCCATCTGTTCATTGGCTTTTAGGTTTTTTGAAAAACAAGACAGCCTTTTGTGCGCCACCTTCACCAGGTCCTCCTGCCTCTGCATTTCAGATCTGTTCTTCCCGCTCTCCTTTCTGGTGAAAAGCTGGGCTCTGGGCATGCTGGACGACCTCTTCCAGTCCGTGTTCCTGTGCGCCTTGCTGCTTTTCTGGCTGTGTGTGTACCATGGGATACGGGTTCAGGTGAGCCGCCTGCCCACCACACTGCCGAGGGAGCGGAGACACGCCCGCCCCTGCTAGCCTCCATGGTCATCCTCAAGATGAACTTGTCCTTGAGAACCTGTCTCAGCCTCGTGGGCAGGAGAAGAATGCACGCCGTGTAGAAATGGTCTGCATGTCTGCAATCCAGTGTGGTCTGTGAGGGTTAGTGGTTTGCTAGAATTACTAACTTCTCTATTTCTTACTCTTCTTGCTTTTTAGGGAGAAAGGAAGTGTTCAACTTTCTATTTGCCTAAATTCTGCATTGTTGGACTCTTGTGGTTGGCTTCTGTTACACTGGGAATATGGCAGACGTGAGTAATTTTATTGCGTGTGAAACACCCTGGAAAGCATTTGGCATTGTGGACGGATCCGAAATTCTAACATGTGCCATAAACTTACCCAGAAACGAGTGTGTCATCCAGAGTCTCCAGACTGCGTAGTGTGACTTGCACTGAGGGTCCATTTTTGCTAGAGTGGCATGTAGAAATACACACAATTCTTCTAACCTAGGATGGGAAATGACAAAGGCCGTGTCATTTGAGAGTCCTTCAGAGGCGCAGGCGTCACTTGAGAGCGTGGCATTCCAGTCGTGCTGGGCTCACCACTGGCCACCAGGAGTCTTAGCTGTTCCTTCGGCTGCATCTATGAACTTCCCATCCTGCACCAGCTCCCAAGGCTTATCTTTTTTAGTATTTCTGTGCTTCTGTAAAATGGCACCACTGCAGAAGCCTGGTGGGTTTCTGCAGACACTAGTTCCATGTTAGAGGCATGATTTTGGCACCTGGCACATCAAACTTCATGGCTCACACCTTCTCCACTCCCCTCTTCCTGCCTGCCTGTCATCCCAGCTGTCTGCTTTCACTTCACAGTGATGTCAGGGAACTTGACATTTACATTCACTGCTCTTTGTGTGTACCCATCTGTTTCCTAGTGCCCGTATGTGTCACTGAAATGTGCCTGGAAAACAGCTCCTAAAATTGCGGGAGTAATTGGATAGGGATTTTCAAAACAAAAACTACTTCAGCTTCCCATGGTGATGACGGTGGACAGTCACGCTAGTAGCATCGTAGGGATTGTCAGTATGAAATTTAGGATTCCTCCTAAATTGTGAATTCCTCCTAAATTTAGGATTACTTTAAAAAAACCCTTTATTGTTGGTTAGCAAGTAGTTTATGTTGATTAGTTTATACTTTCACTTAGATTTTTTAAACTTAAAAGTAAACTGGTTATTAATCTATGGTTTTTTTATAACATATTTTTAGAGTTAATGAACTACATGATCCAATGTACCAGTATCGAGTTGACACAGGAAATTTTCAGGTAAGGATTATTAATGACATCTGAGGATTTTTTTTAAATGCCATTTTAAATGACTGAATTTTGTAACTTAAATTGTACTGTTGACATGAACTTGCTAACTGGCTATTGGAGGAGTTAAGAAGCTCACATGTATGAAAAGTGACCCTCCAAAAGCTGTGCTTGTTACTCCAGTCCCTGGCTTGTGGTTGAAGTGCCAGGGCCAGGAGGTATGTCAGACTTTAGGAACATAGAACAATTAAGAAAATGTTTTTGTTCATTCAGTTCTCTGAAGTAGCGGGAGGTTTTCAGACAGTGAGCAGGGTGGACAGGGCCTGCAGCTGCAGGGCCCGGTGCTCTGGGAGGTGCTGTGCTGGTGCTCCCTGAAATCCGCGTCCTCTTTGAACAAGGAGCCCAAGTGTTTCATTTTACTCAGTCGGCCCCCGAGTGACTTCTTCTCAACTCCTTGCGCTTGGTGCCCTCTAAGAGTCTCCGAGTCAGGCAGCCCTGGCTGCACGAAGCTGAACCCTTGCCCTGGGTGACAGCCAGCATTTCTCTGTGTGGCTTCACAGAGCTTCCTGTAAAGCGATGAAGCCTGGGGTTCTTTGTGGGAATGGCCGCTGAGAAAGAGGGCAGCTTAGTGGATGACGACAGGTGGGAAAGATGGTGAACTTGTGTTGAGACTGTGTCATAGGAAGCAGCATGAGAGCCTGATTCTTTACCGAAACCTGGTGGGGGTGCCAGTGGCCTTTCCAGTCGATTGATGATCAGCCGCAGAATGTATGCCGTATGAACATCACACCATGACCTTTGCCCTCAAAGAATAGCTGACCCTGTGAGGGAGAAAAGACAGAAGTAGAGACCAGGATGGCTGAGGGCTCAGTGCCCAGCCAGAGAGGCCTGTGGACAGCCAGCCAACTGACCGCCCACAGGAGGAGGTGGCATCCTTGTGTTTTGTCCTTTATCTTGTCTTTTAATTAGCCTTAGAACGCTTTAATAAGTCTCCTGGGGGAGGGCGGCACCTTGAGATGGAGAGGAGGGGAGGCCTTCTGGGCCAGGGAAGAGCCACTGTTCAAGAGTCCTGTGGGGTGGCCATGCCCAGCAGGGAGACCAAGTCAGGCAAACTCAGGGGGACTGTACTCCAGGAGGAAATCAGGGCACCCTGGGAAATCTAGGCCACGGTGTGTGAGGGATGGGGCCTCAGAGGAGGCTTCTGCGGCTGGGGACCGGGACACTGAAGGAAGGGAAAGGACTACTGTGACACATTCTCAGGGCAGGTCCTGCAGACCCTGGTGACAGATCACATATGAGGCTGTTGGTTGAGGGTAACCCCCAGATTTAGATCAAATAACACAGATTCGTGCTAATCCACTGTTACTGGAGCTTTTATTTGGTACGGTCCCCTCAGTTCTTATGTGAGGAAACTGAGGGTGTCTGAGGTTCTTGCCCTGCACCCCGCACTAGGAGCAGGAAGCCACGCCCCAGGAGTCCCCAGATGCCCTAGGTAGAAACTGTCCTGGTGGCAACCTCCCCCCTGCCAGTCCTCTCTTTCTCTTTCACCTGTACAATGGGGTAATAATGGAATATTCCCCAAGGTGGTGTTGTGACGATTTACTCGCACAAGGAATAAGGACTCAGGAAGGCACTGTCACCCTGGCCACCTGTCACATCTCTGTCAGGTGGTGGGGAAGCCAGCCACTATGGGGCCCTGGAATCCTTGCGGCCCCCTTGGAAGAACAGAGTAGCCTCATTACTACAGGAAATACTGGAAATCAGAGACTTCTAGGGAGCTGAGCAAAGCTCAAGAGACCTGAGACTGATCTAGTGAAATCCCTTTATTTTACAGATGAGAGAAAGAAGCCCAGACTAGTCACAGGTTCTAACGAGGCAGAAGCAGCTGCCAGGCTTCCTGCTTGGCAGTTCTTTGACCTGGAGGGGAAGTTGGCTGGGAAGAAAGGGAGGGATGCCAGGCAGGGTGGGGGGGAAGCTTGGAACTTCAGCCAGAGAGGTTGTGCCACCCGCCCTGCCCCTTGGAGCCCAGGCTTCATCACAGCCTCCCCACTGCAGCTTCCAACCTCAGAACAAAGTGTTCTTGTTTTTCCTGCAACAAAATTACAGAATTGTGGAATTAGACCTAACGTCTCCTGGACAATTTACTTCAGCCCCCTCATTTTACAAATAAGAAACCTGAGGTCCAGAAAGTTGAGAGTCCTGAGGAATTCTCAGGATCTGGGCCTGGAGTCTGTCTTTGGTATGCCCCTCACCCTTCAAAGGCAGGCCTCATGGGGGGGGGGGGCCATGT